TGTTGTGTGTGCTGACGATGCCACTCACGTTGCTGGAGGTCGTCACGCATCACTGGCCGCTCGACGCGTTTGCGTGTCGAGCGGCAGGATCCATGCAGGCACTCGCCGTCTTCTCGTCCACGTTCACCATCATCGCCATTGCGCTCGACAGATACATGGTCAGTGTGTCCGGATCATGTAACACGTCTTGCTTACTTTCTGAATAGGTTATGTTTTGGTCAGCAAGCGTGTTTTTATGTTTTGGAACATGTTGTATTCTGGTAAGCTTATTCTTCATATGTCCGGTTCTTAAATTACACAACACACGGCTTAATTCACAGAAACTATTGATTGACGGAAATAATAAATAAACTTTCATATAATAGTTCTGCCAATTTTGGCCGCAATACAATAATTAATTAGTTATACATATGTAAAAACCTGATAATTTTTTTTTATCTTGTTTGTCCACATATCCGTTAAGTTTTATTTCGATTACAGCTATTATTACCTAGATATTCAACATATTGCAACAAGGTCAAGTTTGCGCTAAGACTAGGTATATGGTGACCAGATCTTATTCAACAAGGGGGGTCGAATCAGTTAAGTCGGCTGAATTAATTTACACTAAGGGGTCTCTTTCTGAATGGGTTATGAGGGTTTTTAGGGTTTATGAGGGTTTATGAGGGGTTAGTTCAATATGAAGTATAGTATCTGCAATATACTTGCAGATAATCCTTCTTAAACAACCTCATGCAATGTGCGATTTTTTTGCTGTTACAATCCGTGTCGACGATTTTGTACGTAAATCGAAATCGGTTTCATTTGTTTTTAATGTAGAATAATATGGAAGAACATTTTTGACCGACTCATGGCAAGTCTTAGCGCTGTTGATTATTCATTTTCAGTATTCTTAGAAACGAAAAGGTGGCTTTGCCCTAACGATCAGTAGTTCAAAATTTTTGGTTTTCTCAAATATAGCAATAATTGCAATTGCCACGTGGGCGTTATAACTAATTATACGTTGATAACACGTTAATTGCTAGGTTAGTTTACGATGATATAAACTTGATGCGAATCGTTACAAATAAGTTTCAGTTTTCCGGCCTTTGTTCATTGTGTTTTTTGTGTGCATCAGAATCCTTCTAATAGCGTCCAAAGTTTCAAAGAGTTTTTCTGGGTTTAATCCTCGACAACAAAATTTCTTTGTAAAACCACTTTAACTACGTTTATTGGAGGATTCGTAGAGCCCCCTAGGTATTACATGCTTTATCAAGCACCTAATTAGCATTATCTTCATTGAAAACGCCTAATTTTTGTATACATTATTTTAATCGAAACTCTCTAACACCTTAGTAACTTGGGGGTAGTGTCTCTCTTAATTCAAATAAACGTGTTTTTTAATTTTAATTCAAATAAAATATTAATTAAAATTTGGTCTGGTCAATTCTTTAGGTTAAATAGGTTAGCATTATCCCGATGACTCGTACTATCATATTATACAAGCAATTTAAAAACTTAAATTTAAAAATTTTGACTTAAGTGAGACGCAGTTATCTGCCTTATGGTTAGTTCATTAGGAAGTATAAAGTTGTAGTAACTTTTCGTTTGTTTTTATTATACTCTAATTATTAACCACTAGTATTGTGTATAGTACTAGTATTATATACCACCTAAGACACCTATGAATTTCAACAGCTTATATGGGTAATCTCTATTAGAAACTTTTTGTCCGTGTGTAGAGTTGATGTGCACAACTCTCGTCCGAACCTTAACGTGCCTTCGGAAGCCGATGTATACTATAGCAATACGTCGCGTTTAGTATCTGTTTTACCGGCATCAGACCAAGTTATCCAGGTCTAGCTCTATCCGCGTTGTCAGTATACGTGCCGTGCTACTTATTGTGTTTCACTACCAGCTGTGCTCCCGTGGGTTGCTCGTACAGTCCGCTGTTATCCTTTCATTATTACTTTTAGCTTTGTAATATTTTACTCCTATATGAGTAAAGAATTAAGAACCTGATGATATCTACAAACTTAAAGGTGTCTTCAATAAAAAAGTAAACCTAATGACATCGTGTTCAAGAATGTACATTAAATTTAATAATGTATGTGGTTTCGCTGCTCGTCCTATAATAGAAAATTGTTATAAGCTTATGAATCCATAACAAATCGAAGTAGTAAGTTAAGTCTTCGAGGTAAAGCCCGTAGACCTGTCTCTTATACACATCTAGATGTGTATAAGAGACAGCACCATCCCTTACTATACTCCTACAAACACCGCCTGGACAGCACTCACTTAGACCTGTGCCCCCAGGGCCAATGTCATACACTGCCCAACACCGTCAAGCATCTTCTGCTTTAGTGTCCGGATCTGCAGCGGCATAACAACCGTCGCAAAGCTTTGGTCCGAGCCCCGCTCGGGTGTCTGTTTCTTGCGCAGCGCGGGTTTCCTGGCGTGACCGGGACTCGGGGAACGTCAACAACTTCTACACTACTAGTTTGAACTTCGGTGCCGGCTCATTTATAAATATATCCATACTCCGCAGTTCATTATAGTTAGATTTACCTGAATAGTGAAAGACAGTGACTAATAGAGATATTTGATGTAATCACAGGAGCTACAGATGAAAAATACATTTAACAAATGACAAGAAAACTGTAACAGGTAGCAGCGGCAGCCACAAAATGCGAGCGTCATGTCAGCTGCTTCATGTCCTGCGTGGACTGTAGGAGGTTGTGCGTGGACAAGTTCTACACGCACCTGCACTCCTTGTAGCAGTCGAGCAGCTGCTTCATGACCTGCGTGGACTGCAGACCAGGATTCTGCGTGAATATTTCCTCAAGTCTGCCCATGACGACCCTGGCCTTCTCGATGTTGGCAACAAGGCGGGTCTTGAGCATAGGGCTCTTGTCGTCCACCCATGAGCCCTGGCTGCTGTCGTCACTGACATCGCCTCCTTGCGGTCCATCTTTGCCTGTCAATTGCAAAAATTTAGTTGAACGTAAAATATATTTTTTATTCAAGATATCACGTTTGGAATAAATTTTACTGGAAGCTGAAAAATATTATTTTCATTCAAGTATGAAAAATATTTCCTTTTCTGTTTTCACTTTTTTCACCACTTTCAAGATGAATCTACGTTTCAATCTCTATGAAGTTGCTATGCACCAAATCAATAGATTTAAAAGATATATGATATTATACAAATCCATCAGGGCTATCAACTGTTACTACTGGATAGTTACCGATCTGTCTTATCAGGTTCTGACCGTGAAAAACTCGCTCCTAATAACGTAATAATTAAAATAATAATAATAACTAATGCTGGGACAAACGACCCTTAGGCCAGGCAATTCAAGATGGCAACAATTTGATGAGATTTAGTTAATAAATCACTGGTCAAGAAGCTTCAAATTGAAATTAAGTTAAAACGCACTGGAATTATAACGAGGATGTCGAACCTCACAGCACAATGACCTTTATACATCACAGCCACACAACTACTCTACATCACTCAGTTGTATAACTCTGCTCACCTTCATCTTCATCATCGGTGGCAGTCCTCCAGCTCTTATCATCACCATCATCGGACCCGAGCGATGAGTCACCATCATCATCATCCCAGAGCTCGCCCTCATCAGAGTCGTACTCCCCCACCTTGTACAGGTCCTGGGGGAAGCACACGGACGACGACCCGTCCACCCACCACACGTTCACCTGCACCGAAAACGAGATCATCATATGGGGTTCGAATTAGAATTACGTAAATGAATTCGCCATCATCCGGGGTTTGAATTAGAATTACGTAAATGAATTCAGATAAACAGTTGATAAAATGATAAACATTCAGATAAACATAAACATAAACACACGGACAACGACCCGTACACCCACCACACATTCACCAGTACACAAAACAACAGGCATCATATGGGGTTTGAATTGGAATTTAAAAGCAAAGGAAACGTCAATTAGATTTACCATAACTTGATTGAAAGCGTTTCAGTGACCAGCTCTATAATAAGCTCCATTCATCTGTTTAAAAATTTAATAATTCAAGTANCCATTATGCTGTCAACATCATATTGCTATCAGCACCATTATGCTGTCAACATCATAATGCTGCCACATAATATTGCTGTCAACATCATAATGCTGCCAACATCATATAGTGGATATAATGCCGCTCATAACGAAGCTGTCTGGTCTCTCACCGTAATTGAGGAGAGTTTTGATTGAGCTTATGGAATATATTGTTCTTTTCTGCTTCGGGCCTTTGTGCAGTTAATGAAACCTCATTAGTCTTAAGTGTATCACCGGCAAAAGTATAATGAGGTACAAATTGTGAAGGACAGGTTATAAGGGCATCAGTGCCACCGTGACGAGGTAATATGAGTGTAGTATACTATTAATGTAAAAATGTTACTTAAAGTTGATCCATTACTTCGTTCTCCATCTTGGGTGAACTTTGAATGATTATTTAGAGCTTCAAATGTTCAACAATCAATCACTAACTCATAACAATGGACATATACCAGAAAAAAATGAATGTCAAGACAAAAACCTAAAAAATGTGGGACGTAGAGAGTAAGGGTGAGCAGTTGGAGGTAAATTATTATGGAATGCACTTGTCGAATAATGACATTTGAAAAGGTTTCAGGAGAGCTTCATCGTAGAATAAATTTTTCAAACTTTGAATGAATTCCATTCCTACCCTCCAGGCAAATGATTTATAGTTGATGTTATTGAATTGACGTTCATTTACCATTAATCTTATCATGAATTTAAATATGAAGTCCTCGTGTCTCTCATAATCGTCGCTATGGAAACACTTCGTCGAGCTAATAATTTTATTTAACCCAAGTAAATAAATTAGAGCCTAATCGCGACGAGCATTTTTAGCGTCTAGCAAGCGCGTCTATTCGAATGTTGGTCGCATTTCAACGTTGATTCAACATTTAATTTCAGTTGATCAACATTTTAAACTGATATCAAAATTATTTCAACGTCAGATGCCTGCTGGGAGCTTCTCTGAACATCGATCTTAATATACATATATATAAAGTGACGGACCGTATTTAGGCTGGCCGGAAATTAATCATAACTTGACGATTAAGAGAAAAAAAGACGATAATTTATTTAATGTGCCCTAATTTGTTCTCATGCACCGGATAATGTTTCAAATAACCTTAGGAAGAATATAAGCATGCAGTTTATTAACAGCTTCGGTAGAAGTTCAAAAAATATAACTCAGTACTCACTGCAGTGAGTGACAGAGAGCGCATTTTCCCGTCGACGAAAACTTGAAGTCACGGACGGACAAGGCGAGCACAATAGTGCATTTGTTTCATAAATGGGAAAATGCGCTAAAAACGGGACTTACGTTGGGCCATGCTTATTTGAATGTGGCGTATATTCGCTTTTTTATGCACATTTCGAATAAGATGGTATAATAAATAAGATATTTGTTTATTATCATTAAATGTGATCTCGTTGATGTACATTGCTAAACTCGTTATTGATTTAACTGCACTACTTCGGTCAAGTTTTTGCTATAATATAATTTTTCGCATTTCACAGTTAGTAATTTTCATCCTGTGTTATTTTATCTATATTATGTATATGGGCTTCAATTTTAGAATGAAAGAAGTCTAAATCAAAAACGCGTTTAGTGAGAAATCAAAGCTCATTTTGGTAAGTTTTTTTTAACATGAACACTCCTTTTATTTACTTAATTGGCTAATATTTTCAATTTTATCTATTCTTCTGTCAATAAATTATTTTGTCTAATATATATCTGGTCATTGAGTGTTCAATTTTTAATTATTTCCTTGTGGTGGCCAGATAATTTTTCTTTTCACTTTGGACACGCTCGACAAAAGGGCTTTGGTAAGTAATAAAAACTGCAAATGTAAATATTTTTTACTTCTGATGATTTTTTCAGGATACGTTGGAGTTAGATCGATTTTTTATAACTATCTTTGTGGGAAAAATAACTTTAAAAAATTTATGTTTTATTATACTTCGGAACTAAAAAATTTGTTTCATAGCTAAAATTAGAAATTCCTTCCAAATTAAAGCAATAACTAAACGGGATCCAACGAAATTCTAAAATTATTGAGATTATCTATTTCGGGCAATGTCGTGATGTGCGGCTAGACAGTTAATTTAAGTTAGATTTGACATATGAATTATGAAAAAAGTGTGGTTCTTAAAACTGATAATAGGGTAGTTATCCAACTATTTGCAGCTGTTCAGCAGCAGCCAGCTGTTAATTTTCGATAATGAACAATATTTCATGCATATGAATAATATGGAGTACAGTGGATCTTTATGAGAAATATTTTGCATCTCAATCATGTGAAACAAGGTACAAGGAAATCAATTTCACTTGAGAAATATAAAAAAAATAAAAATTAGCAGGATTGAGATTAGTACATATAAGTTCGCAACAAATGGAAACATTTTTATTTGTGAGAATTTATTAACAATCTGAAATCCCACGGAGCCGTCAAATGCCTATAATGTTTGACATGCGTGGCCACATTACCTAAATAAAATATCTAACGTCGGACCCGTCTATCGTTAACTCTGTAATGCTTCATGGTGAATGCCAAAATGATATTTTACTCCGGGCAGGTGTGTGAGAAAGCCATTTATTCCTAAATCTTTCTTTTAGTTTCTGTGATCAATCTCAATTTTCGTTACGGTTATTCCCGTAATAAGTGCGCATGTATAATCATGATCGATTGAGTGCGCTTTGATCACGATGTTATTTCTTGGGCTTTGCGTACCACCGTAGGGTGCCCACTTGGTCTTTATTGCTCTTGCTAAATCACGCATAAATTATCCCGAATTTATTGGGAAGAATAGAGCTTATTACAACACATCTCTTTAACTTAACTTCTTGTTTGTCTGCAACAAATCTCAATCTTATAATCAATATTTAATTAACAAACTTCTACCTGTCAAATCGACCTGGAATTGTGCGCATTTGCGTGAAGTCTGAGACAATGCATGAATCAATAGACAGAATAAATAATTTTTAAAGTTTATTTTTTTAATATTAGAAAGATGTAAAAAAAATTCTTTCATATATTTATAAATGAAAAAAGAAATTCATTGTACATTAGTAACATCGGGGACACTAGCCTCTTTAGAAGTGTTGTCTTTAGAAAGTAATTTTTGAACGCATATTTTTAAATTAAACGTGCATGATGCCGTTGTCTGATCGAGTCTACCATAAATTTTACCTTGATTGCCTTGGAAAATCGCATCCGGGCTAAAAAATGTTTTGAGGTAGTATAAGCTGTTGATTTTTATGAAATGTTTTTAATGATGATTTGAATTGTTGAATTTTTATGAAATTTTCATATTGTCATGAATTCTTTTACTGGAATCGATATCTAGATTCCTTCCGAAGTGCGGCCGTGATGACAGATATTTTGACGGAAAAAAAGTAAATAAGATTACACATTACACACGCTACTCGATAAGATAAGTGTCCGATATATTTTAGGCTCTCGCAATGATCTCCAGCAGCGTCGCAGATAGCTGTATGAACCAAATGTAATTTAGAATGTGGAACGAAATGGAATTGCGAGTACTTGTTTCAAATTTAAATATAAATATTTGGTTAATTAAACACGGAAAATGGAGAAATGATTGCAAATACTGGAAGTACGAATTGCAAATAAATTAAATAATGGCAATTGGGACTATAACAGCTTATTTATCTAAAAGGCAACTGATACAATGAAGAAAGGATTTGTTACGTGATTTTGACGAGTCAATTGTGCAGTAATATCGCCATACGGAAAAAAGTGAAATTTTAATTTATGTTATAACAAACGTTTTTTACGATCTATATATTCTATAGAAAAAGTTAGCCAAAGTTTCAACAAGAGTTTCAAAAAATTCGTCGGATTTATGCCTTTTAAAATACAGAGTTTAGCTAGAAAATCATTTAAATAGTTAGCAACATTAATTCCTTGTGTTTCATTTGGGGAAACTGAGGTGAATTTACTGTTTCCCCAAATGAATGTTTTGAGGTAGTATATTTGGGGAAACAGTAGTATATATTGGAATATTTTGAGGTTAGTCATTTGGGGAAACAGTAAATATCCTAATTAATATGCTATAGGAGAATTTACTATAAACAGTGCCAACATTTTATTTATTTATTAAAATTTCTGAACAAGACGGAGCTGCAAGTGAAGGATCCTAGTGGTTGATAGCGCCCAAATATTTTTGTTCCTGCCGCGTGTCCTCGTGTGAGGAACTCCTGTTGTTTATTAAATTTTTCGACTAAATTTATTCCGAAGATTAATTTAGTTTTATTTGGGATAGTCGGAAACGGGAAATAATTTCGTAAATTTCATGCGTTACAAATAGATGCCGGCGTTAGCGGTATAAAATTTACTTTATCATTTCTGAATCTATTAATAAATATAGAAAAAAATCAATATTTGACATAAATTATAAAATGTGATACCTAAAAAATATGTCATTTTGTTAATGAAATGTAATTCTAATGATTTGATTTAAACTCGCAAAACTGTTCAGTATTCGTGTCTGGAAAGTAGAATTTCTACGTTTAACTGAAGAATTCTGGATTTCCTGAAGCTTGTAACTAATATAACATAAATTTTTCTACTAGAAATTTCATAAGTTTTTGAGCATAAATTATTTGGAACAACAGATTAATATAAAAAAATCTAGTTTCAATGCATAAGGAGGTGAATTTACTATAAAAATTGCCAACATTGTATTTATTTATTAACATTTGTAAGCAAGGCGGAGCTGCAAGTGAAGGATCGTAGTGATTGATAGCGCCCAAAACGAGTTCAAATTTATTTTCCACGTTTCAAGGACTTGTGATACGCTTGAGTTATGGGCTTCGATCACTGCTGACCAATACTAATGATTAGTCGTATCTGTAACCAGTGCCTGGCATGCAATGAATTATTCATGTTATGTGCCCTCAGAATCAATTAATATGATATGCCTACTTTTTTATTAAGCCTAAATTCCATTGTCGATCCATCAATTTCAATAA